CAAAAAGGCTATTTACAATAGGTGCCTCTACTTTCTCTCTTCTCACTCTTAACTTATTAAAATTCAGCTTCCAACCTCATCATTCCAGTGACACTTCTCTCTCCAAAGTTACCAATTATCTCTTAGTTGCCAAATCCAGTGGCCTTTTCTCAGTCCTCCTTCTCCTTGACTTCTCTTCAGCCTTTGACACTGGGGATCACTCTCTCCTTGAAGCTCTCTTCTCTCTAGGTTTTCAGAGCATCCCTCTCCCCTGATTCTCCTCCCACCTCTCTGACTGCTCCTTCTCAGATTCTTTTGTTGGATTCTCCTCCAGATTACACCCGCCAACCGTAGGCATTCCTTAGTTCCTGGATCTCTTCTCTTTTCACTCTATACTACTTCATCTGGTGATCTCATCAGCTGCCATGGTGATTCTTACATCTACCTATTCTGCTCCAAACTCTCTGCTGACCTCCAATTTCACATCTCTAATAACCTTTTAGAAATCTCAAACTGGATGTCCAGTGGACATCTTAAACACAATATGTCCAAAACTGGACTCATTATATTTCCCCCTAAACATCCCACTCTCACTTCTCCTGTCCTCCCTATTACTGTTGAAGAAACCACCATCCTCCCAGTCCCTCAGGCTCCCAACCTAGGAGTCATGCTGGACTCCTCACTCTCTCTCACCCCCTATATCCAAGCTGTTGCCAAGGCCTATTGATTTTATCTTTGTAATATGTCTCAAAATACTCCCTTCTTCTGTCCCCTGACACTGTCTCCACTCTAGTGCAGATCCTTATCACCTCATGCCTGATTATTGCAATATCTTACTAGGAGGTCAGCCTGCCTCAAGTCTCTCCCCAATCCAAACCATCCTCTATTCAACCACAATAGTGATTTTCATAAAGCACAGGTCTAATTAAATCACTCTTCCTGCTCAATAAATTCCAGCGTCTCCCTATTGCCTCCAGGATCTAATACAAAATGCTCTGTTTGGCATTTTGTAAATGCCATTTCCTAACCCAGCCCCCTCCTGCCTTTCCAGTCTTCTTACATCTTACTCCCTAAGATCTCATGCTCTTTGAACCAGTGACACTGGCCTCTTGGCTGTTCCACAAATAAGACACTCCATCTCTTTACTCTAGATGTTTTCTCTGGCTGTCCTCCGTGCCTGGAATGCTCTCCCTCCTCAACTCCACCTACTGACTTCCCTGGCTTTCTTTAAGTCTCAGTTAAAATCCTATCTTTTATTGGAAGCCTTTCCCAACCCCTAATAATTCTAGTATCTTCCCTCTGTTAATTATTTCCAGTTGTTCTGCATATAGCTTAGCTTGTATATATTTATTTGTACGTCTTCTCCCCCATTAAATTATAAGCTTCTTGTGGGCAGGGACTGTTTTTGCATATATATATATATGTGTATATTATATATATACACATATACATATACAAACATATACATATACACACATATATCTATATATACACATATATCTCTGTACACACACATATATGATGCCATTTGGGGCCAGTAAAATCTATTTCTTACAAATTAAATATTCTTTCTTGACTTTCTCATTGTCCAAAATTATAACATAGTGCTGTCATGGTCATAGATCAAAGTGATTTTGACCACACTCAGTCCTCTAGGACTCTGTATGTAGGATCAGTTTCAGGACAGTATGGTCCCTCCATCCTATCGCTCCAACTTTTGCCATTGTTTCAGCAGCAAGATGCCATCTAAGGAGCCAAACTTGAGTCCTAAGAATTCATTCCCTCTCTTCTTGGCCTGTATCACTTCTTTAAGCCTTTCATTATATACTTGTACCTACTACCAGTCATCCAGAGAGAACTGAGACAAAGAGGATTGAGTCAGGCACCACTTTCTGGTGGAGTCCCCAGATCCAGCCTCATTTCCATGTGACAAAGATCCATTACCCTGCATGGTTTAGATCCCCTGGAGGTGGTAGTGATGATGATGATGATGATGATGACGATGACAATGATCAAAAATGAGTGAGAAAATTCAAGGTCTTTCCCAGACAAAGGAATGACCAAGGACGTGTTCATGGTCAGAGGAGAGCCCAGAGTAGCTCATCTAGAACCATCAGCAGATCATGATACAAGGATGACATAAACCACAAGAGCTCCAGATGCAGCGTGACGGTAAAGGAGTACAGGCCTTTGACTACCAGCCCTACTACAGGGGAGTCAGTATGAAACATTATGGGGGGCTTTGAGGGGGGCAGCCCTGAAGGATCACCAAAAAATGAACCCTTGAAGTCTTGACTAGAGCATGCTGCAGATGTGATACATGTGTGGCAGGGTACCAAGGCAGAGAAATCTGGGCAATTATTGGATCTGGTTAGGATGTTGCGTAAGCGCTGAAGATGCAATGCTCTAAGGCAATGGTATTTTTTCTGGTCCTGGGCCACCTCCAGTCGTCCTGATCTATGTCTGGCCGCTGGACCCAGATGGCTCTGGAGGACAGTGAGGCTGGTGACTTTGCACAGCCTCCCTCACTGTAATCCAATTCATTTGCAAGTTGTGGCATCATCTTCTTGATATCATGGTCCTCTTTGAGAGTGAAGGACAAACCACAATTTTTGTTGGAAAACCCTGCTTTCTAATCACAGTCCAAAGGAGAAGGGAAAAATATGTTTTCCAATGGATTCTTGCAGTAAGTCCTAGAACATCCAAACTGGAGCTCCTGAATGATTCTCCACAGTGTAATAACCATAGAACCCACACTTCTGGGTGGGGCTCCCAGAAGTGCTGCCCAAGATTTTAGATAGGCTGCATCACAACCTTCCACACACGTTTTTGTTCTTACTAGTTAGCCAGAGAACACAATGAGTTCGCAGCAAAGGCATTAATGAAAAAAGCACAGCAAGAAATGTAACAATGGAACATTCTCACTAGAAACCCCCACAAATAGACATTATCATGGAATCTGTGCTCATCCACAGGGATCACCCGTGTAAAGAACATTGTGGCCAGGGCACATGCATGGAAGGGCAACTCATACCACTGATAGTGCAGGGCCACTTCTGTCTCCTGGTGTTATTATGGAACAGTTCTCTTTGAATTTGTTCCCTACAGGTTATACTGTTCAAGACTGAGTCCACACTTAGGCATCACATAGTGTCTCTACGGCTCCCTACTGGGTCTTGCATCTCTGTGACTCCCTATTTCTCTCTTGGACTTTAATGCTTTCTGCTGGGTATAATCACTCTGACGGTCTTCTATTTACTGCTGGACATTACTCCCTGCTACCAGCTTCTGGGCTTTATCTCTTCAAGGTGCCCTACCAGCTATCTTCTGCCTGCTAGATTATAGTGACTAAAAAGCCTCTCCTGCCATCAAGACAGGCTGAGAGATCTTTAGTAATAGTCAGAGATTATATGCTTCCACACCTAGCTAATGAAAGCTAGACAGAGTGCCCCCAAAATAAGATTAAGTCTTTTATAATGGCAAGATCTATGTCTTATAATGGCAAGATCTATCTTTTTTAATGCAAGAATTGCTTTAACAACTGAACAAAGCAAAAATTATAACTATATTCATAACCATTTTATACAATAAGAACAATGACATTCAGTTCTGCTGAAGTTGTCAGGAGTAGTCCATAACTACTTATTTTAAGTTGCATACCCCTGACCTGGGAGGACATGAACAAATGAAAAGAGGTAGAAAATGGAATTTCATGTTTAGGAAATAGTAAATAAGACAATTTTGCTGTAATAGAATATGTGCAAAGAGGAGTAATATGAAATCATTCTGTAAAGATAGGTTGGAATCAGATTGTAAAAGACCTTAAATACCAAATTGGAGGGGGGGGAAGGTTATATTTTACCCTTGAGGCAAGAGGGAGCCATTTAAGCTTCTGGAGCAGGGGAGTGACATAGTCAGACCTGTGCTAGAGTGATCTCCTTCTGCTTTGGCTGAAATTGGATAACCACTCCCTGTAGACTCCATGGCCATGACTAGTTTCCTACAAGCCCTTTCCCATTTCTCTGAGTTCACTAGTAACACATATTTGTTGGTGTTTTCTTCCTTACATTTCCCCCTCCTCTCTGTAACCTGCCTAGTTGGAAAGCCTCCAGACTTAGAGGGTACCTAGGCATGGTCTCTTCCAAATCACCAGACAAGGCATTCACTTGGGAGCTGATAACCTCTTGCTTTTCATAAAATAAAAGATACTCTTTAAGGTCAATATGAAAGCTGGTAGCAGAGCAAGGACTGAGAATGAGCAATTTATCTCAGCAGGACACCCTAGACCAACTCAGGGCACCAAGCATAAGAGTTTGCAGAGAGGAGGGGGTATGATGAATTGAAAAGAACACAGATGTGGAGTCAGAGACGGTGGGTTTGAATTCTGGCTCTGAACACCTGCCATTGGGCAAATTATTTTATCTCTGAGACACAGTTTCCTCCTCTGTTGAATTAGATAATCTTAAGTTCCCTTTGAGCTCTAAGTGCTATAATTTCCAGCTACCAACCATATCCAACACCTTCCAAATTCTCCTGTGTCTATTGCTACACTTAATATGACCGTGTCCCTATCAGAGCCATAACTAGGATGCGGTGACCGGGGGCTTTGTCATGAGGCACTGAAATTCAGAGGGTGCAAAGTGTAGTATCATAGAATCTAAAAATGGAAAAGACCTCAGAGGCCATCTAATTCAACCCCCTCATTTGACAGAGGAGGAAACTGAGACCCAGAAGGCTGAGAATTTTTATGATAGCAACTAATTCCCCACAGTGATCAGTTGAACTTGTCTTAATTTTGTGTCTTATTTTCACCTCTCAAAGTACAAGGTTGCCTTAAAGGTGAGTTTCTTTCTATTTGCTCCATTACTAGTTGTGGCTCTATTCCCTATGCTCTCGGCATTTTTTCTCCTAGGTGTATGACTCATACCCTTGAGATATCCCCTCCCTACACTCCCTTAGCTGTCTACGTTCCCTGCTGTTTAAGCATCCTCAACATCTGCCCCAACTGAGCTTCCCCTCACCGTCTCATGCTTCACCTTGTTTGGCCAGACTTCTTGCTTGACCAGCCAGTTGCTAAGCAACAGCAATATAATCAGGACCATGAGCAGGATCGGCTTGTAGCTAAGCAGCCAATTGACGACCGTCCATAGGGAGTTTGACATATCCATCATTGCCTATAGACTCCCTAACAGATGAGAGAAGCATGCTCTGCAGGAAGGCTCTCTGGCTGCCCATCTCCACCCCCCGGTTCTTCACTCACTCTCAGCCCCTCAACAAAGTGCTTCTGTGACATGGGCTGGGCTGGGCCACACCCCCTCCTAGATCATACACAGTACCCCTCCTCATCTCTGCCTCCTGATCTCCCTGGCTTCCTTCAAGTGCCGGCTAAAATCCTACCTTCCATAGGAAGCCTTTCCTCAACCTCCCTGATTTTACTGTTTTCTCTCTGTGTTTTATTTGCTACTTATCCTGTATATAGCTTGTTTGTACATAGTTGTTTACGTGTTGTCTGCCCCTTTAGACTGGGAGCTTCTTGAAATCAGGGACGTCTTTGCCTTTCTGTGTATCTCCAGCGCTTAGCACAATGCCTGGCACATAGTACGGGCTTAATAAATGTCTATTGACTGACCTGCTTCATTAGATTATAAATTCCTTGACAAGGTCTTTACTATAGGTACATTTGCTTCCCTGGTGTCTACTCTTACATAAAGCAGATGTTTTGTTGAATAACTGAATGCTCCTTTCATACTGTCCTTTTTTAGAATTTCCTGCTAGCATCCATTAAACATTTACTAATTGTGGGCAGCACTGTGCTTGGTACCTGGAGGAGGGGAGGGGAAATTATATGGTTTAATCAAGACCTAATCCTTGCTCTCATGGAGCTTAGCATCCAGGAAGGACAAGATAGACATTGCCAACTCTAATGCAATGTATTACCCATTACGTTCTGTGGAAGAAAAAAACATCCTCTTAGCCAAATGTGTCAAAGATGCAGTTTTCTTAATAGACAAAGAATTTCTGAGCAGCAAGATTTCTCCTACCAACTCAGAAAAAACCTACCGCTTCAGCAGTTTCCAACTGCTTAGTAACAATTTCATAACAATTTTAAAACAAAAGAAATTTCAGAGTAAGAAAAAGCAAAAGTCCATGGTTTCACTTAGGGTCTTTAGGATTAGTAAATGAAGAAATCATTGTTAGTCTTGGAACTCATCCTAAGAAAAGAGTGAGTCTTCTTAAAAGTGCTCTAAGAGCTTTGTTTTTGAGTTCCAAATTCTCTCCTTCCTTCCTTTGAGAAGGCAAGCATTTTGATATAGATTATTTCCATATTAGCCATGTTGCAAAAGAAAATGCAGACCAAAAAAAGAAAAAGTTTAAAAAGTGTGCTTCGATCTTCATTCAGACTTTATCATATGGCTTTTTTCATCATGAGTCCTTTGGAATTGTCTTGGATCGTTGTATTGCTGAGAATAGCTAAGTCATTCACAATTGATAATCATTACAATATTGCTGTTACTTTGTATAATGTCCTGGTTCTGTTCATTTTGCTTTGCATCAGTTCATGTAAGTCTTCCTAGGTCTTTCTCAGAGTATCCTGCTTATCATTTCTTATAGCACAATAGTATTCCATCATAATCATATGCTACAACTTGTTCAGCCATTCCCCAATTGACAGACATCCCCTCAATTTCCAATTCTTTGCTGCCACAAAAAAAGAATTACTATAAATATTTTTGTCCATAGAGGTCCTTTCCTTTTTCTTTAATTTTTTTTGGGGCACAGACCTAGTGGTATTGCTGGGTAAAAAGGTATCCACAGTTTTACAGCTCTTCAGGTATAGTTCCAAATGGCTCTCCAGAATGGTTAGATCAGTTCACAACTCCACCAACAGTGCATTAATGTCCCAATTTTTCCATAACCCCTCCAGCATGTCATTTTCCTTTTCTGTCATATTAGTCAAACTGATAGGTGCAAGGTGGTACTTCACAGTTGTTTTGATTTGCATTTCTCTAATTAATAGAGATTTGGAATATTTTTTTATAGGAGTATAGATAGCTTTAATTTCTTCTTCTGAAAACTACGTGTTCATATCCTTTGGCCAGTTATCAATTGGGGAATGATGCATATTTTTATAAATTTAACTTAGTTCCCTCTCTCTCTCTCTCTGTCTCTCTCTCTCTATGTGTGTGTGTGTGTGTGTGTGTGTGTTTGCTTTTTGGCGAGGCAATCGGGGTTAAATGATTTGCCTAGGGTCACACAGCTAGTAAGTGTCAAGTGTCAGAGGCTAGATTTGAACTCAGGTCCTCCTGACTTCAAGGTCAGAGCTCTATCCACCGTACTACCTAGCTGCCCCAGTTCTTTATATATTTGAGAAATTAGGCCTTTATCAGAGATAGTTGCTGTAAAATTTTCCCCCCAGTTAGCTGCTTTCCTTCTAATCTTGGCTACTTTGATTTTGCTTGTGCAAAACCTTTTAAATCTGATATCATTCACAATTATCCATTTTATATCCTGTAATGTTCTCTCTCTAGTTTGGTCAGAACTCTCTATTTTGATTGTGGTAAAAGAATGTAATAGAATGTTACTGTACTGGAAATAAAGAATGTATACACTGAAGCTTGGGAAAGCTTAGCTTACTTTGCTGAGACAAAAAAATAAAAAAGGTCATCCATTCTGGAAGATAATTCAGATCTATACCTAGGGATGTTATGAAGCTCATACAAGATAATGGATATAAAACACTCTGCAAAGCTTAATGTGCTACATACATGCCAATTATTATTACTATTATGTAGTAGTAGTAGAAGAAGAAGTAGTAGTACTAGTAGTAGTACTAGTAGTATTAGTAGTGGTAGTAGGCCTCCAGTCTGGTGATGACTTCATTCTCTGAGTCTTCTTCTGTACTCCTACTGTGCTTAAGTACTGTTTCTAGGTCAGTACAGAAGTATCCTGGGAAATGTTTAACAGGGCAAGGGGGAAATGTATGCACATATACTTCTTTTAAGTTTGATCTTTATAATCAGACAATCAACAAAGCAATACATTTAACCCTGATGTATAACATTGCATCGCAGAGGTGTGAATGCTCATACTGAAAATGTGATAATTGCTCTTACAAACTAATTAGAGCTGGTTCTAACACACATCCCTGACTATACCCCCCAAATCACTAAACTGCATACAGTTTAACATAATGATACCACTCAGGTACATATCCCAAATAGATCTGTAAAAAAATGTTTATATCAGTTTTTTTTTTGGTTGTTGTTGTGGCAAAGAAATCCAAATAAAGTGGACTCCCATTAATTGGGTAATGTCTAAATAAATCATCATTGAATATGAATGTAATAGAATATTATTATGCTGTAAGAAATTCCAAGTGGGAGTCAGAGAAACCTAGGAAGACTTGTACGAACTGAGGCTGAGTAAAGTGAGCAAAATCAGGAGAACAATTTATACAAAGATTAAAATATTGTCAAGAAAAACAATTTTGAAAGACTTAAGAACAATGATTAATAAAAGGACCGATCACTATTACAGAAGACTAATGTTGGAATGTGCTACCCATCAATTGGCAAAGAGAGAATGACTCAGAATGACACATATATTTTCAGAAATAGCCAATATTTAGTCTGTTTTTACTTGACTATACTTATTTGTTATTGGGAAGGACTTTTATTGGGGGGAAGGGAGAAGCTTATGGGGAAAGAAGGAAGCTAGGGATAGTGATCCCCACCCCAAAAGAGTCTTAGTGAAACATAAATACACACACACACACACACACACACACACACACACACACACACACACACACACA